GCGGCTTAGTTTGACTCAACACGGGGTTGAGGTTGACTTGTAAGCTTCTGCGTTTTTTCGGCTGGGGTTCTGAATTCAGGGATCAGGCTCGGGTGTGTGTGTTTCGTGTTTTTGTTTTTTCGGCAAGGAAGGGGGTGTGGATTCGGGCTTGAGGGCATTGGGTTTGTGATTTCAGGGTGTATCATAGCGAAACCCGAAACCCTAAACCCTAAATGGGGTTTATCATAGCGAGTTTAGGGTTTAGGGGGTTTGGCAGCTCCGGAGTTCCAGGATCCACCGTGCAGTGGCCTAAATCTCTGCCCAGATTCTTGCTGCTTGGGGGTCCGTACTGCGAGTAGGTACGCTAGACAGTAGGACCCTGTTCTAAGTGCTACGGCCCTGATATCAGGGTTCAGGGGTTTGGAGATTTTTGTCATGGCTTTTTGTTTGAAGCTTCGGGAGTGGAGTATGTTTGAGGGTGTGGGGGGATCAGGGTACATGTGTCACAGCTTGTAACTTGTCAGCATTTAGTATCCGGGTGTATGGGCGAAGCTAGCAACAGCCAGGCGTATGTGATGAGTAGTTGTCGTGGTGTAGCTGCAGTGCTGAAAATCTCGCAAGAAGTAGGAGCAGCAGTAGACAGACCGTAAGAGTCTCGAAGCAGAGCAAGAGAAGGAAGTGAAGACGATTCGAAACACGATTCGAGACGTGTCCCACTATACCTACCGGACATCCCGGAAGGACGATGGCATGCGCGGCTACAGGCGCAGCGGTCTGGGAAGGATGTGGTTTGCCTGTCGGGTCTCAACTCCGAGCCACAGATAGGTAGAAGTAGTTCTTGCTGTTCAGGGTTTATAGGGCATCAGCAGCAGCATTATGTTTTAGAGAAAACAATGCGCAGACTCAGATAACTCTTTGTATATATTTGTCCGTATACCCGCCGGGCGTTGCTTATGTGCAAGAGCTCTGGTGTTGGGCGGAAGGTGGGTGAAGAGCTCGTGGGCGGCGACGGTCGACGGCTGAGATGTGAACATCCGAAATTCAATGTATGTGTTTGTTTGTTTGGGGTGTGTTCCTTGCAACATATGTTCATCTGCACTGCCTTCATGTATGCATAACTTTATCATCACCCGCACACACTTAAGTGCCTAGACTTACATGCGCACATCCATGCACGCATGCATGTTACTTTGTACATATGTTTGCACCTTTGTATGTGCATTCGTGCGTTTCTGTGCTCTGTAGTGCAGGGAGCAGGGACGTCCGATGTCTTTGTGGCCATACTGTGTGGCTTGTGCAGTTGTTGTTCACTGAGTTCTTCCTCTAAACATATTCCAGAGGAGCCTCTGAACAGACGTGTGTCAATTAGTCCGTATGGGCATTGAGCATGATGATGGTCGTCGTCATAATCGAATACACCCATGCGACATGACTGTATACATACAAAACTAGTCATACCCGAACAGACCTGGACAGACACACACACACACTCTCTCTCACGCAGAGACACATGAGCGCACAGAGAGAGAGAGAGAGAGAGCGCGAGACAGAGAGAGAGGGGGAGAGCGAAAGAGGGGACTACCCCTACACCCTAGCCCTGACGACAGAAAGAGCGAAAGTGAGAGAGAGAGAGAGAGAGGGACAGAGAGAGAGAGAGAGAGAGAAAAAAAAACAAGAAGCGAGCGAGAGAGACGGAGAAAGGCAGACACCCTAAACCCTTACCTTTACACCCTGACCCTAAACAACCATGGTTTTAGGCCACTCCTCCTGCAGCGGACGGGACGCAAGAGCTCTCGGACGAGGCAGCCGGGGCGAGCGATGCCTGGAGGAATCCTTTCCTCTTGATTTTCAGCTTCCCTCATTCTTAGGGTTTGGAGTTTAGGGTTTAGGGTCTAGGTCTAGGTAGGCCTTTGAGGATCTTACTTACTATTGTTCCAGAGGCTCAACCCAAAAGGTACGTCACACATCGACCTCACCTTCCCTGGCAGCTCTTCAGCAGATTATTGAATAGATGGATGGTGGATTGAAGATCGGTGGAGCTCTACGGTAGACCCAAAAGTAGACCCTACTCGGAGGATTATGGGACTTAGTAAGTAAGGTTATAACATACTTTTATTGGGGCTACAATTACTTATACGTATAGTTGCCTTATAACCCTAGTTCCTAAGTCCCATGATCCTCCAAG